TGTGTGTGTGTGTGAGGTGGGAGGGGAGGGGGGGGTTGTTTCTTTGCGTTGCTTGATAAATTTAATGGGGCTTTCCTGTCCTGGAGGTGGGTGAATCGAGTATTGGAATGTAGTCATGGGAAGATACACACATACATATATATGTATAATGGAGAAGTAAGGGTCTGTGACATGGATTGTTATGGATTTGCGTATTGACGCAACGTGCGTTGGTGTTATCGAACAGAGACGTTGGAAAAGTATTGCAAATAAATTTAAGCGCCTTGTTGATAACCCTATCAATATTTTACATTGTACTGAATATACACGAGGAGGAAAAGGTATGTCGCCAACGACAAAATCGAACAAGGGGTCCCTTTGCATTATTGTGATACTCTGAGATATGCATGAACCATACAACTCTTCTACACCATATTTCTTCCTTTTCTCTAATTAAAATTAGTATTGTCGTTCTATTTTGAGGGAAAAATGAACTAGTAAAAGAAATGAGCATGTTAAACGCTCACCAAGATGTCTACGTCACCAAATTCCTACGATATCGACATCATCCAGACTTTTTCACTAACAATATTGCTATTCAGTGCGTTTGCATGTACCTAAAGCTGCACCTCCTCCGGTGTTGAGTTGCTTGCTACACACTATTTTTCCCAGAGATATATATATTTTTAATTATGCCTTTTATCTACAGAGGAGACCGTGTTAACATTGGTTGGGGCTCCATTGGAGATGCGCTCGGTTTCATTTTTAAGTTTTGCGGATAACTGCTGGTTCACCTTGCGCCAGTACGTCAACTCCTGCTTCTGGGTTTTTTCTAGTGTTGTACGCGCCTCATCTATTTTCCCCCCAACTTTATCGTACATCATCAGCCGGTCGTGCTTTTTGACCTCAAGTTCCCGAATTTCCATCTTCAGGGATTCTACCCGGTCCAGCATAGGCTGAATGGTGGCCTGACGAGATTCTATTTCCTTCCGCGTGGAAAAGCTGTGCGCACGCTCCACGAGACTTTTGTGCACCTCAATCGTGTGATCTGATTCGTCTTTAAGCCGCTTGAGCAGAACCCCGCGCGCGGCGTCCTCCAACATGACTTGCCGAATAAGTTCACAGAACGCGTCGTCGTAGATATCGCGGCGGATCGGACAAATCCCAACAGGGCTGGCTTGGCGTTGTTGGAGCCTATCGCAGAGGGCCTCGTGGAGCTTCGTAATCTCGCCCCGGCTGGCGGGCGTCGTGGAGACGTACCGCAGCATGACCTCGCTCGCCGGAAAGGGCCCCGGCTTATCCGTCGTCTGGTCCTCGCTTGGATCCTTCGTTGACGGGGTGTTTTCTGTCAAAAACGTGGGAGTCTCCACCTGCGGTGGGAAGATCACCCGCAGGATACTCACCCCATCGCGAATGTCATTGCGCATGAGATAGGGCAGGACCTCGTTCAACGAAGTCGTGTCGACATCCATCGGCATCGCGGTCGCGTTGGAGGGCCCTCGCGCGCTGCCATCCGCGGGTGCCCCTTTATGGCGCGCATAGGCGAAGCTAAACGGGTTTGTTGAGGGTCCTCTATTTGTGAATTTCCCTCGCCGCGTGTCGTGGGGTCGCTTGCGAGAGAGGGTCGATCCCCCACAATGTCGACCGGCGATCGCGAGGGACTCCTCCTCAACCGCGGCCGACGTCGTCTCCGAGGCGAGGGAGTACTCCCGCGCGATGTGCTGCGCGGTTGCCAGCCTGGAGGCGGGAATGGAAAGCGGGTCGCCCTTCTCAGCCAAAGGGTGGCCCCTTTCGCGGATCCCCCTCAAAAGAGCCTCCAGGTCTGGCTTCGGGAAGCTAGAATGGGAAGGGGTGGCCACGGTGATGGGGGGATCGTACTTTAACAAGGGGCTCAAAACCCCAAACCCATCGGTTACATCGACATTAGACATGAAGCTATCTTCTGCAACGTTTTTGCTTCAACGTTTCCTAGAGTATGAGGAAAAGTAGCATTTTTTTTACATAAAGAAAGCGCAATCATGACATCTTGAGTTTTATTATTATTATTTGCGTGTTCAATTACCAAAGATTCTTCCCATCCCGTTTTATTTTGTTGTTATCGACTTCTATTTGATTCAAAAAAAATACATTGTACACCCGCCGTTTCTAATGCAAGAAAATAAAATGATATCAGCTTTTTTTTTTATAGAATTGGTATGCATGTAGTGTGTGTATCATTTCTGATAAGGTATAACCTTCTGTACAGAAAAACACATTTATACCATTTATATACATTCAGAAATTCTAATATTCAAGTCTCAGATCACTCTGGATGGTTCTAGATAAACTCAACGTGGCTAAACATGCTCATTGATACCGAAGCGCGTTATAGCGCTGACGAGAGGTAAAATATACTCACTTTTTATGATCGTTTCCGTTTCTCGCCCTTAAATTCTCCTTCTCTCCCCTTCTATTTATTATACCACCGGACGCAAGACGCTGTATCGATAATCAGGATCCAGTCGGGTTAGGCAGGTTTGCAGACGCCATAGCTGGCGTAATTGGGTCGCCTTCTCCACCGGCCAGCATCGCTCGAGGAAGGTTTCCAACGTCATCGATCCATTCAGGATGAGATCCCCTAATGAGGCGCCCAGGCTCACCAGCAGAACCGCGGCGTCGATGTAGCCGTGGAGGATGGCGTACTCCAGCGCGGGGATCGCCGGGCTGGAAAAGGGCCCGCGCTCCCGCACCGTCGTCACGTGCTTTTCCACCACCACATAACGAACCGCGACGAAGTTGAGTTCTTTTTTCTTCCCTTTCGCGACCTCGCAGATGCTCTTTTTGCCCAACTCGAGACGCTTCTTGGAGGGGGTGTTGAGTTTCGGATCGGCGAAGAGAAGCTCGAAAAGGAGCTCCGGGGTGAAGATGTTTGGCGCCGTCATAGGCAAGGTCGCGAAGGAGGCCACCAGGCGCTGCGTGGCGCTTCGAAAGGGTTCGTTGTAGATGCTCTCCACCACTGAGGTTGTTTCAATCTTCATAAGAAGCTCCTCGTTGACATTTTCCGCCAACATCTCTAATCTCGGTAGAGCACACCGTATTGCCGGCTCCGCGTTGATCGGGACAGGGAGCTCCAATTTCACTGTCCTCCTAGTATTATTTGCCGAGTCAGGCATGGACGACTCCATGCGATACTGCAGATTCAGCTGATTCATGAGAAGCGAGAAATCGACATAGCGCGCATCCACCCCTTTGGTACCTCTATACCGAATGCCAGGTAGGTTTGCGAGCACATGCTCCAGTCTATCCATTTGATCTTGCACCTTTGACAACATCATCGTCCCACTAGAATTGCTACACGCCCGAATAAAGGAAAGAATATTTTTCGGATACAATTCCGCTTTCAGACGATGATATAACTCATGACAGAAGGTGTTGACAAAGATATTCACCATATGGTTTAACGCCAGGGACTTCTCCCCGGTGGAATGGCCTCTGGAGATGGACTGGAATTCCTTTGGATTGCAGACCTCCAACATCCAGTAGTAGATGAGTTCGTGCAGTGGGCAGCGCTCATTCACGCCAAAGAGTTCATACAGCGGCGCGGCATCGCAGAACTCCTGAATCATCCGCTGATTAAGAAAGAGCGGGAGGAGGAGAAAAAGAAAACGCCACATTCCAGAGCGCGCTTTCGTCAGCGGCAGGGAGGATCCTAGGCCACTTTGCTGCTTTTGTATTTTCGCCTGGAGGAGGGCATTAAAATAACTGAGGTGGTAGTTCAGCACGCCAGAGGGGGTGGAGTTCACGTTCGGGATTATAGCACCCGATATTGGGGCAAACATCGGTTTCCCCAATAATGAGCTCGGTTGATGGACCGGATGGGAAGGGGTTGTCTGCGGTACTCGATTCACCACTGTCGCCCTTTTTTTTCCCGAGATTGGCTGAGCCGTCGGTATCGGTTGGTCCTTCAGGTTTGCCAATTCGGTCATTGGCGTTTGAGGGAAGTCGGCTTCTTGCGTACACAAGGCGTTAATTGGCCGCGGCATCGGCGTATTGGTGCACGCCAACAGCAGCAGGACTAAATCACTTTGATAGATTTTTTGATGGCGTTGGGTGAAAAAGGATTGGGGGGGGTCCGCATTGCCCTCCTTCGTCGGAGTTGCCATCCCCTCCAGCAGTTTGTGTTTCGGTGGGGAAAACACGTTCTTGAACTCCGCGAAGACGTTCGTCCCCTCCCGCGGCGTATTGTCTTCGTGGTGACCCTCAATCCGCATCAGGTCGGGTGTGATTTGAGGGCGAAAAGACGAGGTGATGAGGGGATCAACGACGCCGTCCTCAAGTCGTTTACTTTCCATGAACTTCTCCAAATCCGTCGTGAGGGGGTAGGTGAGGGGTTTGCGGCCGAGCTGCTCCCGCGCCAACCGAGATCGGATCTCCACCAGCGTTGAAAACAGCAAAGCCCCGGTCAGCAGCGCAGGGGGGAAGACGGGGTCGTTTCGAAGGGCTTTAGGGGTCGTCCGGGTTAAACCGCCCCCGGCGTCGGCGCCATGCCAAAGCTGACAAATCTTATGCTCGAGACGCCGTCGCCACACCGCCTCGGCGCGCTGTAATTCCCTCAAACGAGGGCGATAATACTCCGCGTCCTCAATCCCTTCCTCTTCCTCCTCCATGCCATCGTCTTCGTCGTCGTCGTCGTCGTCGTCGAATTCGCCGAAGTCGGAGGCGGCCTGACTTCCCCGTTTGGTCCAGATTGAATCGTCCTGCCGCTTCGCGAGGCCGTTGTTCTGCGTTTTCGCCAGCGCCTCCCAGACATAAAGCAGCCATTCCGGGATGGAGGCGAGCAGCCAAAGCGCAAGCCCCAGGCTCTCCGGGGAGGTGAGCCGATTCAGCGAAATCGGCCGCGAAGGGAGGATGTTGGCGCTCAGCAAGGCCCCCATACTATCCATGGTTTGCTTACTCCGTGAGTTGGTGAGGCTGTCGAGTTGTTTGAGCATCAGTCGAGAGCTCCCGGGGAGGAGGTGATAGCAGGGCACGGCATTCCCCTTGGGGTTGGGTTTTTCCCCTCGAAAGAGAACCCCCTCTTGGAAGAAATAGTTGAAATCGAACTTTAGGGCGGGGAGCTGGTATGGGAGCGGGGTCACGCTGTACTGCAGCCGCGCACTCATGAGGCCGGTGTAGACCGCATTGAGCATCGGGAAGCCGGCATCCTCGTCCATCACCAGCCAGTGCTCAAGACACCCTAGCGATAACGCGCAGGTCCGTCCGTTGGATTTGAGGTTTTGCAAAAAGCAGGTTTTTAGAAAAGAAGGAGCCTGAAGGGCGGCAAGCATCAAGGCGTCTAGGACGATGACGGAATCGTAATTAAACGACGGGACGCTGTCGTCGTCGTCGTCGTATTCTTCGCTTTCCTCATTACTCTGGTCCTCGTCCATATGATCCTCTTCTTCCTCTTGCTCATTATCTTCCGATTCCTTTTCATCGTCTTCTTCAGACTGATCCTCATCGGAGTTTTTTTCCTTTTCTTGTTTTTGACTTTTCCTTAGAAGTTTGGCTTTCGCATGATGCTCAACAATCATAGGATTGACATCCAACAGCTGCCATTCCTCTTCGTTTTTCTCCCACACCACGTATAACTTGTAGTTTAGATCAGGGAAAGCCACAATCTCCGGTTTGGGCGTAGCCGAAGCGGACGTTTGTGTTGTTGTTTTCGTTAAACTCTGTATTATAGACCGTCTATTCGACGCGATAAAATCCTGGCGTTGATTAGTTAATAAAGTAACGACTGAAGTGAGTTTCTCATCCGAATGCTCCACTTTGAGAGCATTCGGTGGCGCGTACTCATCCAGCATCTGATCCTTCCCCTTCAGAATTTTGTTTTGAACTCTCTGCCACGAAGAAGGTGAGTTGAGTTTTTCGTTTGATTCATTCTCTAAATTTTCATTATCCCCCTTTGATTTCATTCCCTCTATTTCTTCTTCCACCTCTTCGATTTCCTCCTCCATGAAGGGATTTAGGTCGTCAACGCCCTTTGGCGCTTGCTCTTCGTCCTCACTTTGCATTCTGTCATTATCGTTGCTAGTGTGGACGAAGGAGACTTTTTTATAACTCAACGCGTCCGACTCTGGATAGGGCTTATTCCCCCTCATCAGAATTGGTATCGAGGAGAGATTATGTTTGGCCTCGCCCAATTGGCCCATCTCGTGGTTCGCCGCGTTTGGCGTGAGAGGGGGAACCGTCCATCCAAACATCGTCTCGCAGACCAACACGAGATAAAAGAGATCGTTCGACAACAAGGGAGAAAGCCAATAGGGAAAGGAAAAGCCAGAGGTTCCTGGGATGCCGTTGGAGGGGGCAGGGATGCCCCTGGAAGGTTCTTCCGGCCCCTCGCCGTAGCCCTCGTTTTCCTCATCGTTGGGTTTCGTTTGGTAGTAAAAAGTGGTGGAGCGGCTCCCGCCGGTGATCGCCATCCCCTCGTCGTCCTCCTCCAGCGACGTCCGGCCTTCGCCCTGAACGATCATCTCCGCCTTCAAAAACTCCATCACGGCGTCCTCGTCGCCATTGGCTTTGAGTTTTTGAAGCCATAAATTCCGAATGGTGCGCCGCATTTGTTCTTTGTAGCGTTTTTCAAATGATTCAAAGCCATATTCGTGAGGTTTTGAAAGTCGAACCACCACCTTTTGCTTCTCGGCGCTGTGGCCGGGCAGGAGGATGTGCAACTCTTCCACCTCCTTCTTCTTCGGCGGAAGGGAGGCCTGTGCGTTGGAAAAGAAATCTTTGATGATTTTTTTACACTTTTCCATGAGTTTGTTTTCATCACTTTCATCTTCACTGTTGTCTTGATCCGTCACTTCTCTGTTGTCATCTTCGTTGTCATCACTCTTTTCTTCGGAGGATTCATATTCCTCTTCCTCAGTAGAATCTTCACCATCATATGCTTCGTCTTGCATATTAATTTTGGAGGATGAATTCTTTCTTTAGAAGGATAAGTATCGGTATATGGAAATAGGCTCAGAACAGAGGTTTATTCTTATAGGATTTCTCCCCTTTTGACCTTTTATAAAAAAAGAGGTGAATAACAAAATAGTAAAAAACTATGATAAATATACGTATCACCAACTATATCAAACTATATACATACATGCAAATATAAATCTATACTACACGAAAATTGGTAAGAATAACATGACCAATTCAGTATTTTTTTTAGAAATACTAGAACGTTTTGATGCTACATAAAAATAAGTCGTCTAAGCAAATTAAAAAAATACTAACAGATAAAGGCAAATAAGTTTTACTGTTTTGATGCTCCTACTAGACTTCGCTTTATCGTTACAACAGAACATAAATGACAATTCTGACTTTTTCTGCTTAATACCTTAAGATATGGAACACCAAAAGAAGACGATAAAATATGCTATAAATATGTATCTATATATATACCCCTTCCCATACAAATTTAAATTCCTTTTTGTTTTTTTTACTTTACCTCTATCCCTTCCTGAAAACGGAAAAATACACATACTAAAAGGTACTAAACTTCCACAAAAAGTACCTCCATCCCGAGCAGAACACAAATGAGGACACCGTAGCGTATAACCACGTAGAGCTGCGGATCCTGCACGTAATCCTTTGCAGTTAGATCGATCAGGTAGTAGCTATGCTTTCCCCCTACAACCACCACGTTGTAGGCGAGCAGTACCAACATGGCCGTTCCGAGTGGACTGTAGAGCATCGTCGAGAGCGACGTGCAGGCCGAGAGCGATGCGGCATGGGTGGAGAAGTTGGAAAGAAAGACCTGTCCAACATACTGCCGCCGTGAAAGCGTTAGCGCGGAGGACGAAAATGAAGGAGTGAAGGTTCGCCCATAGCGCGCGTATGCCGTAGAAAGCCGCGGAATCCCGCGACAAGATAACATGGTATACTCCCTTTCTTTTGTGTTATGGCTGGTTTTGAATTTTCAAGGAGGCGTTGCAATGTGTTATCGTGCTAAAATGTTCAGATACCCTATGTGTCTAGTTAGTAATAGGAAAATGTAAGTCGCATGTCGGTGAAAAAAAGAGGGAAAAATAAACAGCAAATATCATCCATTTGTATTTCATTTCTGAAAGACAAGCTTCGCATTTGCGTCGAAAACGCTTTACCGCAAGACCTTACACTTTTGCAGATATTTATGTCTCCCAATAACCAACCACCGTTGCCCTGGAAAAAACAATGTAATAAGCGATAATAATTATAAAGTCCAACACCATTCGCACTCCAAATACATATGTTAAAGAAACTGTAGAAAAATATTACCTAAGTAATTCTATCATCGTACACCTATATATATATAGAACGAGTTAATAAGTTTAAAAAAAACAAAAAGTTCCTAGAAGATGCACTGTTAAATTAATTACTAAGTCTAACACTTGAGAGATACATTTTAATCCCCCCTTCTTTGTATATACATATTCATTGATACTTACTATGATGGATTGATTTTTGTTGTTTACAGACCCCACAATGCTTCATCATATTTAAGAACCGAATTATTCACCAATCTTTCCTCAAAAAAAAAAGAGGATTGACTAGTTTCAAGACAGACGGGCTGAAAACGTCCAATTATAGGTGTTCGGCCTTTTTGTATGATTTAGCTAAATGGATTATATATATCTCCCAACATTATAAACTTAACTTTATTAAATTGATTCATTTGCTTATTCTTAGAAACGAATTAAAGCTGCAATGTTCAGCTCATGCTTCAATACCGAGAGGAAGATAAGACTAGGGTTCCCGTATATTGCGTCACACCCCACTCCATTTCCTTCCTAAAAGAAACAAACGGGTATAATTTAACTAAGTTTTATTTCTTTACACTAAGGACTTTGATGGAAATGTAAGGAAACGCTTTCTTTTTGTCCACTTATGAGGGGTTTG